GGAAATAACATCACTTTTTCCATAGAATGAAGCATCTAAGAAGATCTACCCAAACAACTCTATTTTCACTCTACCCATCACCGCAAATAAAGCCAAGACCTTAATGCGACACCATCCGACTCTGTTCGATGTTTCCAAGCTGACCGATACGTATTATCGATACTTTGAAGTGATGATGAGTTATTGGTTGACCAATGGTAACACTTCTTATTCTAGTAACGATTACATCACATATAGTCGGCTGCTGGGTGGTTCTCTTGACAAGACGGATAAATCAACAACCCCAAATTTCGCAGGTATTTTAATTAAAGTCAACATAAATAAATTTTGTTTACACAGATGTTAGCAAAAAAGTGAATGAAATATTCTCGTTCACCTTTGCGCCATATTGAAAGGTCGTGATGCTTTTCGGCATGCGTCAGTGCAAGACAGCCGAAGAGATTGTAATGACGCAAATTTKTTTGCACCAATAAATGATTATTCACAGGCTGCCATGATGCATTGCAAGAGATCAACAGTCTTCTCTTTGATGCCGTAATGAACGGTTAACTTTCAAATTGGTGCAGCCGGGAACTGTAACCTTGGGGCAAAATATTGCTTGTGTCTGTTGTGAGAGTAATATGTATGCCAGTAGCAATAAATGCGAGAAACTAATAAAGACACCTAAGAATGTTGGGAAGTACCAAAATAGGCAATTACAATAACATAGCATTGGGTTTCGTGATGCTGTGACGTTATTTTAATTATCTATTTCCAAATGRCTTATGTATGACTTAAGTATCTGAAGTATTATACTATCATTMTTTATTCTCTTAGCCTTGTGGTTAATCTTCAGCTTATGATCGCGAATCGCTTTCAATATTTTTCAGGAAATCGGTTTGGCAATCGATTACTGTTTGCATCAATAGAGATTAATACCACTATGGTACCTACACGACTCGGTCATGTCGAAGGGCTTCAGATATATAACCATTGGGAGGACTTTATGAATACAAAGGTAAAGGAGAAATTTATATCCGCAATTCATTACATGTAAAATATCCCAATTCAAATAGGGCTGTGGAATACTTACAATGYTCGACCAAAAGTTACTGCATTTATTGATTTGGATGACAGCTGTACAACAGATCTGTTGTTAGGTTAGGKTTTGTTATATTGATTGGATGACTTATCTGTTGTTTTTCCATTGCTTTCTCAACCTTTCATGAGATTCGTTCCTATCTGTGATGACTGTCCCCTTTGTGTGAATACTATCATCATGTCCATCGTTGGTTTGCACATTACTTTTTTTTTCGTTACCACGTTCTGAATAAAGGAATTAATAAATCATTCATTTCCCATTGCTTTCTGTCCTCCACTCATCCAACATGGCGGAAAAACCTTTTATCTTTATTTCTCATGAGTTGTCTGGATTTTTGGTCATATGATARCCTAGCTTTATGTTTATTTACGTGTAAGTTGACTGAAATTTTTGCTATAATCAAAGTTATATCATTTTGTTCCTGTTAGATGGGATCCATGCCCTCATCATGTCGTAATGGCTTCCAGGCAACACCCTCAGGACACAATGCCTGGCACTGGATGAAAGTACAAGAGGTTTGTATTACGAGACAAGAGAATCACATCAGTCACTCAGAACACGCGTTATAAGTTTATATAATGTTACAACACACATTRTCAGACTAATCGATATTTTTTAAGGAGAAACAACTGCAGTTTAATTCATAAATTACATATAAAGGAGACTGAAATTTACTTTAGATTTGCATAACCCAATCAACAAACTTTAGCTTAAAATCGATTGCTTTATCTATCTTAAAAGGTAATGGGCTTAACAGTTAAACGAAATATATAAACTAGAATATTGGCGTCATATATGCTCCAAAATTACTATTATTCATTATGAGATTTTTAGGCTGATGACCGTGTTTATAGAAAACATTACGCAGAAAAGACTCCCCGAAACATTAACAACAACAACAAAAACTGTACAATGCTAAAAATAAAACGATCAAACAAGCACACAAAGCAGGCAAAAAAAAATCAACATGTTCTTAGGCAGCCTCCACTTGTTATTCTTATTCACCTAATGTGTTTATATCATAGAACAGTGACACGCGTGGTTGTTAGTCACTTATTTCATGATACAAAATCAGCATCAAAAACAGTTAATCAATAATCTTAATCTGTCCCAGGTTCTCGCAAGCACTGCAGTACGAGGAATTCTCATGAGCCTAGGACTAGCTATTGCCTTACTTACTTTAATGACGACCAACTGGATTGTGGGATTGATGGCAGGCGCAACCATCGCTTGCATAACAGTGGGAGTTGTCGGCTTCATTCCAATGGTCGGCTGGAAACTTGGAGTTCTTGAGTCACTTAACCTTACCCTAGTCGTGGGTCTCGCTGTAGATTACGTTGTTCACTTAGCGGACGGCTACGTGAGATCRCCATTCCATACGCGTGAGGAAAAAATCCGTGACGCCTTAGGAAGCGTAGGGATATCGGTTTTATCCGGTGCGTCCACAACACTCGGTGCTTCGGTCTTCATGCTAGCAGCAAAGATTGTCTTCTTTTTCCAATTTGGAATCTTCATGTTTGTAACGATTGGACTTTCGATTCTCTATGCTTTGTTCTTCTTYACAACACTGTTAGCTTTGGTTGGTCCCAATGGGAAAACAGGGTCCATTTTGACGATTTGGAGGTTTTTGAAATCAGCAGTTTGCGATAAGAGCATGCACGATGATAAAGACARYAGACCTGTGCTGTGTGATAGATGTGGAAGTACTGTYATTAGAGCTAGAGAAGATGTCATGTACGGGACAACAACTTATACTTCTGCTGTGTAGGAGCTTCTTACCATCGCAAGACCATGTTTGACATGGCGAGTAGAAGAAAAGGAGCTAGCAATGAACAAGCTATCTTTAACTCGCACCGAATGTCAAAGAAAGTCAAGATCTGACCTGCCAAAATATCCTAGCGTTGATGGCATTTTTAAAAAGGAAAATCACTGAATTCAACAAGGAGAAGCAAGCAAGACCAACAAATAAACCAGCAAATAAAGAAATCAATACACAGGAGAATTATTTCTTAATTAAATTATGTAAAATGGTTTTGATGTTGAAGAAGAAGGTCAGATCAAAACGAGCCTTTAAAAGTACAACTGACCTCATTTTCTGACAGAGAGACATTGTTTTGATAAGAAAGAACAAAAACTGCAGTTTAATAATATATAATAAAGATGCTGAATAAGTAAGATATATAATGTTTAAGAAATATAATTTAAAGAAAAGTTTTTTTTATAAAAAGCAATTAGCTCAAACATTTGACGATCGATGATCTTTGCCAGCTCTAAAGCAACGCAGCAGTATGAAAATAAATTATGAAAATGAAATACATTAAAATGCCAAAAGAATTGATGGGTTCATTACTTTAYTCTGCTATCTCATATATCAGTGGAGAAATGACATAAAAATAAGACCATTTAAAAATTCTATGAGGTCATTAGACAATGTTCCACGTGCAGAAACTGAMTGTATATCACACTCARCACACGACTACTGGGTGGATTTCTCGAATCGTGACCACTAGATTTATTTGGTCCGTTTAATTTAGTCAGGCTTTAGAAATATTGGTGTCAATAGTGTCAAYTGGTTGACAATAAAAGATACACTTCTTTTTACGAAGATAGGATCTCTTTGCAGCTTCTAGCTACGGAAGCTACGGCTCTGTAATTTGAAAGCAGTCTGACACTCAACGAAGCCAACATGCTAAGTCAAGTGCTGGATTAATAATTGACAATATTCGAGTACGACATTTTGACTGGTAGGCAAAACCGGTCGAGACGTGTTGCCTAAAGTCCGGAATGGAATTAATTTTAATACTACTTGACAAAAGGTAACCCTTAGAAGGGTTCATTCTCAATTCACTGCATGAGTATGCTTTAGTTAGCAATCATTTTTTGTTATTTCACTACCGGTAGAATTCCACGAAATACCGTCAAAACCCGTTGAAAATCATGCATATCTTATATGTCTCAGGTCAAGTTGTCTGACGTTTAATTATTTATAACTGATGAAAGTCATTCAAGTAGCNGGGAATATTTTCGTACGGTTTGTTGTCATTGCAGTTCTTGCATCGCTCGCATAAAATTATCTTCAGTTTGATATTGTTACCAGATACCAGTTCAATAAAAAATCTCTATGAACATGAATTCCACCTTCTTATCCATGAAACGGAGTTCATACGACCAATGCTTTCATGTGTTATTTGTGGCTTTGTGAATTTTTTCGTCGGTGATGCTGAAGTGCCGGCACGTCGAAGCGGCTAATCAAACATCATTTAAAGTGTCAAAACAAAGTCTTTCAGCAAGTATATTCCTGCAGTTTTTCAAAAATCTCATCTTGATATCATTTCCATACCAATTCTGAAAGGAAACGTAACATAAAGCTTTACTTCAAATCAGTGAATCGACGAAGATGTAAATGTTTTCATTCAGCGAAAGCAGTACACATTCCGTTGCTGGTTTTACCTATCTTTTTCTAATTGTTTTGCGTCCAGTTGACCTTTTGACAGACATGCACCCTTTCTCCTCAAAGATCACATAGTTTATGATTCATCTAAGGTCACTAAAAAGGCAATTTTSATGCAAAAAGAAMGAAAGAAARTCGCYCGCCGTCGTCCGCCATTTTTTTCACATTTTGTCAAAACTGCCAACTTCGCCTTTCGTTAAAACGTGAACTGTAATTTGTTACTACTCCACGTACTTCTCATATCTACTTTCTACCTAAGATCCATAAGGACGGTAACCCTGGCCGTCCTATTGTTTCTGCTTGTAATTRTCCTACTGAGCTCATCTCAAGCTATCTTGACTCTGTTATGCTTCCTATTGTTCAGTCTTTACCTACTTACATTAAAGACACTAATCATGCTCTTTCTATTTTTAATGGTTTCCGCTTTCCCGCTAACTCTAATAAATTCTTGTTCACTATGGATGTTAAATCTTTGTACACTGTTATTCCCAATGACGAAGGGCTTCGCGCCCTTCGTTATTTCTTTGATCGTCGTTCTGTCCTTCAGCCTAGTACTCCTACTTTATTACGCTTAGCCGAACTTGTTCTCACTCTTAACTGTTTTTCTTTTGGTGATCAGTTTTTCAAGCAGATAAATGGCGTTGCTATGGGAACCAAAATGGGCCCTAGTTATGCTAATTTGTTTGTTGGTTACATTGAAAACCTTATCTTTCAACAATATACCGGTCCTAAACCTGAGTTTTTTGGCCGCTATATTGACGACTGTATTGGGGCTACCTCTTGTTCTCGTGACGATTTAGACTCTTTCATTTCTTATGTTAATTCTTTCCACCCTGCCTTAGAATTCACTTCGGAAGTCAGTGACAGGTCAGTCACTTTTCTTGACATTCAAGTCAGTATTACTGACATTCATCTCAGCACTACTGTGCATTATAAGCCTTTATCTTTTCACATAACTGAACTGTAATTGGCTGGTTGAAAAAGCCATTGAAATGTTTGAGGTAAGGAGAAACCTAGTTTTGATCATAAAAATTATACTCGAATTCTAAAGTTTTTAAAAGCCATATTTTAGAAAAAAGAGTTATTTTATAAAAGCAATAGATAACTTTTTCCGTGTTTACATAGCCTGATGCAAACACGAGGGTAAACACGGAAAAAGTTATCTATTACTTAATTGTACACTGACATTCCTTCTTATAAAATTAATTACAGTACGTCAGACAACTTGACCTGAGACCATAAGATATGCATGACTTTCAACGGATTTTGACGGTATTTCGTCTGGAATTCTACTAGTTGTGAAATAATATATAAAACATAAACTAAAACTAACTAAAGCATACTTGAAAATTAACCCTTTGAAGGGTTACAATTTTAAGAAAACTCTTAGGCGTAGTAATACATTCCATTTGCAACAAAATATTCATAAGCTTACAACGTTTACCTTAGACCTTAATTTTAACAAAACGCGACTCGACTGAGCTTGGCAGGATAATTCGTGGAAGTAGTCAACACGTAGTCGAATAAGGAAAATTATCTATAGCTAAGATTACTTCAATAAACAGTTAATCAAGTTAACTGTCTGATTTAGTTAATCTAAAAGAAAACAACTAACATGTGCTTGCTGTCTAATCGTTTACAACTCGAAAGTGAAAGTATTTGTCACTGATGTAATAAACTTTACATTTAATAAGATGTTCAGTGTTAAGGAAGACACGGCGCTTTTTCGGATCGTTGGCATTCTTCCTGCAAGACAATTGATGTTCCTTTGTTCAGTTTTTTAGATCGATTTTGGTGATTCGGAACGATATTCCGGTTCCGTAAGGCATATCCCATCTTGACGACCTGATTTTCATCGAGTAGGTTGCATCAACAGTCAAGTCTTTGTAAGCGGCGTTATTAAAAGCTTTGATTTCCCATTTTCCGTTTCTTTTTTTAACTCGAAGATTGCGAAGCAATCGAAGAGTTATTGGAGTGGGACGAGACTGTCACTCACTCAATCACTCACTCACTCACTCACTCACTCACTCACTTTCCTGTAAACTTGAGCCTTCGTTACTTGTGTTCAGAATTATAATTTATTCTCATTGTTCTCTATTAATTTACTCATTAAGTTACAGTTACCGGGTTCCCTGATCTATATTTGGTTGAATTTATTTATTTTTTGACAAGGAAAGAAATCTAATTAAAGAAATGTCAGCTCCTCTGAGTCTTGAACTTCAGACCTCTGAATTAAGCCTCATCTACACGGACAATTTTTATGTGACAATTTTTAATTGCTCATTCTCATCCCCATTCTTCTGAGAATGGCATAATGTAATGCTGAAACATGTTAAGATTAAAAATATATCGTATTTGTTAAAGTTTTATTATCTCTAGTACTCTTACGAAGCTATAGTATTTAAATTTGTTTTATTTATTGACTTCTCCGCTGTGCAAAATCATAGTTGGCGCGAGTCTTCAACAATTATTTGCTGCCTGCCCACACGGAAAAAAAATTGTCACATATAGTTGTCACATAAAAATTGCTCGTGTAGACGGGGCTTTAAGGCCCGTTTACACTTGCAAATTTTGCAGCGCGATTGTCGCGCGCAATCGCCTATAGTTTCGAACATTCTTGAAATTTAGCGGCATCGCCGCGACAATAATCGCAGGGCTGTTTACACGTACGATTTGAGGTGCGCGAGAGCAAAGTGGCGATTGTCGCGCGACAATCGCGCTGCAAAAATTGCAAGTGTAAACGGGCCTTTAGAAATCGAAGACACGGCTTCCATTCGGCCAGGCGTATCAATGTGGTTAGACTTGTCTTTGAAGTGCAGGTGCTCGCTCCTGGTTGTCAAGAATCAAAGTTAAAAATAATTAGTTTTAAAGAAAAAGAAAGCTGTATTCATAAATCGTTCACATTAGAATTCTATTTGCAAAGTCAATTATAATTTGATTCGTCTTACCGTTCAGTCTCAAAGGTTGANTTCAGTCTAATAATGGACGTCGAAAATTGTCTGTTTATAATTTTCAAATTACTATTCAAATGTGGGTCATTTTCTTAGCAGTTGCTTTCAACCCTACTTCAAAGAACTCTCAAAAACTTTCAACCATATCAATGAAAAGAACTTTCCTTTTGAATACATTTCAATGACAAATAATGTTGGGAGTAACCACATGCGCTCGTTGAGCGCCTTTAATTTGACACTTGTGGTGATTTTATTTGTTTTTTGAATCCAGATGTAGCGCTTCTGGTCGACATAGTTGTAGCTCGAGTGGTATTCATCTCGCCGGCGCTCGCCGATGTTTATCCAGAACCGAAGTTTAATTATAAAACTATATTCATAAATCGTTTACTTAAAATTCTATTCGTTAAGTAATTATAATTTGATTAGTCGTTAATTATATCTTTCTGTATTCGTCTTCACAATCAATCTTCGAGTTGTGTTGCCATTGGCGGCTTGATTGTAGATAGGAACGTGCTTAAACAGGGCTTTTAGGTGTTCCTCCTTGGTGACAAGATTCGTGTTGGCTCTCACCTCAAACCTCTCCTTCCTCTCCTTCTCGCTTTTACTTTCCTTTCCTTTGTACTTTCCACTGATTCCACATGAAATTAGGTTAAGAGCAAGACTGAGGACTTCTTTCATTTGATCATCAAAGAACTCAACACATGTTGTGCCAACCGAAGTCTTGCTTTTAGTCATGCGGTTTTGTATTTTGCAGAGATAACGGATCCCTGTTTTGCCACAAGGACAGCTATTGTCTGCGTTGCCACTATCTACCGTCTCGTAGAAATCCCATTCTTTAAACATTTCACACAAGTCCTCTTTCTCATGACTGAGTTTCTTYAAGTGATCGATCAGTTTCTGAGGATATTTAGTCTTGTCAGATGCAGCAGCCATA